TTTATTTGAGAGAGAGAATGAGATAGAGAGAGCATGAGAGGGGGGAGGGTCAGAGAGAGAGGCAGACTCCCTGCCGAGCAGGGAGCCCGACGTGGGACTCAATCCCGGGACTCCAGGATCATGACCTGAGCCGAAGGCAGTCGCTTAACCAACTGAGCCACCCAGGCGCCCAAGGGACATTGAGATTCTTGACTCAAGTCCTATGAGGAGTAAGTAGCCCACCTGGTGTGATGCTTCTGGACATCCAGAACTTTCTGTTACATCGTCATTTTATAACAGGTCGGTTAACCTGTCTCTTAAATTAGGCAGATTTCTGACCGCCTTCTGGCCTCTCACCCTCAGGCTTGAAGCTGCTGTATCTGCCCAGTGCCAGGTAGCTGGACTTGGTATCTCTGTTTTCCCTCCCGAAGAGGCTCCAGCGGTTAAACCATCCACTTCCTGGGACAGGACTACATGCTGCAAAGAAAAGGACTTGAAATAATAGGATTGCTGTAGAATCAGTGTTTGTGGCCCCCATGCCCAAGAATTCATACCTGGAAACCGAATCCCCAAGGTGATGATATTAGGAGGTGGGACCTTTGGGCGGTGACTAGGTCATGGGGGTGGAGCCTTAGTGCCTTTCTAAAAGAGGCCCCAGAGGACCCCTGGTCCCTTCCACCACATGAGGACATGGAGAGAAGATGGACGTCTGCAAACCAGGAAGTGGACCCTCAGCAGACCCCAGATCTGCCGGCACCTTGATCTTGGACTTCCCCGTCTCCAGAACTGAGAAATAAATGGTTATTGTTTAAGCCACCCGGTCTATGGTGTTTTTGTTACAGCAGCCCAAACGGACTAAGACAAGGGGGAAATAACCTGCCTGGTAGATTGTATTAATTGTTCAAAATGTCTACTAGCCCTCCTCGAATGCCCCTCCCTGAGCACCCTCGGGAGAGGATATGCCTGCCCTGTTGGACCTGGGCAGGGCCATGACAGTGGCCTGGCACCATCTGTAAGAGCCCACGGGTGGGCCACTGTCTCCTCCCTCAGCCACAGAGGCCTGACATGTTCAGGTAGAGACAGTCAGTCAGTCTGGGGCCCGGAGTGAAGATGGGGGCAGAGGAGCGGCCGACCACAACAGACAAGCAGGAGTGAGAAATTACCATTTGTTGGAAACTGGTAGGTTTTCAGGGTGTCACTGCAGCGTAATTGAGACCTCCCTGGCTGATACAGTCTATAATCCCACCATTCAAAGATGAATCACCGCCAGGATTCCGGTATGTAACTGTAGAAATTCTTACATGCAAATGAGCATATTTACACACAGTCTTACAAAAATGGGATCATCTAGCTCTTGCTGTGGAGCCTTCTCGTACCTAATATGTGGTGAGTGTCTTTCCACGTCAGATTTGTGTCTGTACTCTGTGTAGCTCCATAGGATACCACTGCGTGGTTATGCCAAAATTTGGTTTCTAGTTCCTTTTTGGTGAAACTGGAGGTTTAAATGTTATTTTTATATGCTCCATGAGGAACGTCTTAGGTAAATATTTTTACACCCTGGCTTGACCATTTCCTTAGGTTTAGGATAAGTCCTAAGAAGTGGGATTGCTGACTCTGAGGATATGCACATCCTTTGGATACACAGTGCCAAACTACCCGCCAGGAAGCCTGCCTGGATCCCCCTCTGGCCAGCTCACTAGTGCTCATTTCTCTGTAATCTCGTCAATAGCAAGCATGATCAACTTAGCCAGATGATCCCAATCCAAAGAGCACTCAATCCTTTATGATCAACTAATGGACTGCCTTCCTAACTTTGGCAACTCTTCCATCCACCTGATCCCTCTCAAGTCAGGGAGCCAAGTGGGCACAACCTCTGGGACCACCCAGGTAGAAGGCCAAGCAGGAACTGTTGCCCTGTATTCTAGATCCCCTCTGGATTTCTCTTATGCGGAGCTCCTCCCTCCTATCTTCCTCTCCCTGCTTCCCCGTCTTTTCCTAAGGGGATTTTTAAAGCCACTTTAAAAAAAAATTATTACACAAACAACATTATGGAAACATTAGAATTCTAAATGAAAAAGAAAAAAAAAACACAACTCCCCACCAATCAGTGGTCCCAACAAATTCGGTGGTTTTTATTGGCCTGTGTGCCCTTGCAGTCCTCATCCAAATGCATGCAAGATTTTTGCCCAGCTGGGCTCCAGCACAGATCTCATTTTGCATCTGCGCCTTTGGCCACTAGTTGGGTCAGAAGCATTGTTCCATGTTGTTACATGGTTGTCCTCTGTCTCATTTTGTTGCACAATGTTCCAGTGGGTGAATAATTTAGTAATTATTACCCTGATGTAAGTCACTTAAGTGGTTACCCGTTTTCCTCTACTATAAATCATGCTGCGGCACATGCTTTTGTGCATTTAGCTTCTTCCTTCATTGCAATTATTTCCTCAGGTCAATCCCCAAGAATGAGAGAGTTTAGGTTAAAGGATGGTGGGAGTGCTCAAATAATACTTGGTATAAAATGTTACAGTTTTCCAGAAGATTTTTCTTCTTTTCTTTTCCTGCTCAAAAAATAATGCTCTTTTTCAACCGTAGAGAGGAAAGCAAAAATTCTACTACCCAGAAGTTACCACTACTAACATTTGGACAACCGTCCCTCCAGACGTCCCTTGATGCATACGTATGCATATAGATGTAGAAATAAAAATAATTTCTCACCAAAGGGATCATATTCATGTGCCAATTTAGCAAGCTGTTTTTTTACTCAACAACATGTCCTGGGTTTTTTCACTGGTTCTGCCAGCCACAGTGCCCAAGGGCTATATAGCATTCTGTAGTAGTCATAGCTGGGAGCCGGGTGCAGTGCCAAGAGTGTTATCTGCATTAGCTCATTTAAGCTCCACACCAACCCAGTGAGATAAGTTCTATTATTATCATGCCCATTTTATAGATGAGGGAACAGGCTCAGGGAGTTAATTGACCGCCCAGGGTCACCTAGGTAGGAAGTGGTGGGGCTAGCACTCAGTTTGCATTCTCGGGGGCTCCGAAACAGATGTGTATATAAATAACACATGAATACATTCTTACTGTAAAAAGTAATAATCCTACGAGCAGTACCATAGCATAGAAAGTAAAGTGTGAAAGTCCCCCTTTACACTCCACAAAGGTTTGACATCAATTAAGTTTAGGTTCAAGTGCAGATGACAGAAAACCAAAGTAACATAAGCTTAAGGAAATGAATATATTTCTTTTTCTTCCGTATAGAAGAGATCTGGACAGAGCATTTCAGCGCTGGTACGGTGGGCTTGTGATCTCTGGTCATGAAGAACCCAAGCTTCTAACTTTGTGCTCTATCTTCTCAGTTCCTAACTTCCATCCCTTAAAGGCTCCACATGGTCTAATAAGGTCCCTGGAGTTCCAGCCATCATGTCTGCATTCCAGGCAATAGAAAGCGGGGAGGGTGAAGGAGCAATGGTGTTTCCTCCAGCTGAATCAGCCCCCTCTAAAGAGCTTCCTCCAAAGTCCCCCTGCCCCATGACCTCGGCTTGCTTCTAATTGGCCACCCTTATGCACAAAGGCTGGGAAGTGTGATTTTTAAACTGAGCATGTTGCTGCTTCCCACCATCCCCCATAATAGAAGGGCTTGGTTAATTTAGAAAACTGAGGGGGGGGTGCCGGATAGATATTAAGAGGCAGTCAGACAGCTCTACCACCATGTGTATCCTTCCCTGTACC